AAATTACATTCAAAACAAATAAAATAACAAAATTATTAATTACTAAAGATAATTACTTATAAATATATTAACTTCCAAATATATTAATATCTACTTAATAATGTAATATTTACAAAAATATGATTTAAATATGATTTAAATATACTTAAAGAGATCTGATGGAATTTTTTCAATTATTAATATATATACATATGGATGACATGTGCTAATTAATAGAGGAAAAAAAAAAAAAGAAGCTGAGAGGCGCAGCAAGCTGGAGGATGTTGCAGCAAGCCGAAGGAATTGTAACAGGCCGGAGGAATTGCAGCAGGCCAGGAGAATTGCAGCAGGCCGGAGGAATTGCAACAGGCCGGAGCAACTGCAGGAGGCCGGAGGAATTGCAGTAGGCCGAAGGAATTGCAGCAGGCCACGCGAGGAGAAAGAAGGCATGCGGGAGGAGAAATATTGCAGAATTTATAGAGAAAGGGTTGGGATATATAAATAACTTCCAGCAACAAAGGTTTTGTTGCTGAAAGTTTACTCTTTATTAGCAACCTATACCATGTTGCTAAAGCTCATTTGAATTTGAATTTTTTTACTCATCACCGACATGCATTATATTGCTAAAATTTAAAATAAAAAAAACTCCCACCACACTATCAAATGATTAAATTTTAAATGATTAAAATTTTTAGCAATATAATTCTTGTTGCTGAAAATTACTTTCAGCAACAAGAGACATATTGCTAAAAATGAAATCCTTATTTGGGGAGAAAAGTCCGGTGGAGGGCTACCGGAAAATATCAGCAACATGGGGTATGTTGCTGATATTTACTTTCAGCAACATACCCCTTGTTGCTGAAAGTGGAGTAGCTTTTGGAGGGGAGAAGTGTACTGCATAGCTTTCAGCAACTAAAACTTTGTTGATGATATAATTTTTCAGCAAAAAAGGGTTCCATGTTGCTGATATTTGTTGCTAAAAGTCAAAATTTTAGTAGTGGCTGGCTTTACAGAATGGAAATCTTGTATGTTCTCTGTGAGGACAAGAATGGTCTGCTGCAGAGAGAAAGAATCAAAGCTGTCTACGACGGAAGCCTCTTCGAGCGCATGGAGAAGGAAAAGGAATCTGCTAAAAAAAAATGCTTAATTAATTAGCCTTAACATTCAACAATAAAAGAATTATGGGGTTCTTTCTTTTATTTGAATTTTTTTAATTGGTCAATAAAAAAATTCATGTAATAAAGAATTGTTTGAAGAAAACAAGTTAATATTTGGATTTTTTTTTCTTTTATCCTGAAGCAGTGTGGTGTAAAGAAATGCTGTGTGATGTAAAGAATTGCTTGGTTGTGAAAAATAATGTTCTTATATTTATTCATAAAGGATTCCTATAAATGACAATGCCAGATATATAGCTAAATAAGGCGAAGATCCTTAGCTAATGGTAAAATACAACGGAATTGATTAAGGTATAATGACTAAAAAATAAAATTAATTGATGCCTAACGGCTAGCTAACGGTTTGTGACGGAATTTTTGTGATGATTGAGATATACTATACTAGTGAATAACTCAACACAGCACCACCCACCCTTCAAGTTGGAGCATGCAAATCTTTAAATACATTAGCCACTTTTAAGTTGGAGCAATTGAGTTCAATGTGAATGGCTTTTTGATTGTTGCAATGTAATTGCATTGGTTGAGAATGATCAGCTCCTAACGTCTTCAGCAGTCCTTTGAGCCATGAGAGTCCATTGACAATGGAAGCCATAGCTCTATATTTGTCTTCAGCTGATGATCTTAATATAATGGATTTTTTTTTGTTTTCCACGATATAGGTGAGTTGCCAAGCAAAGTGATGTTGCCAGTTGTAGATCTTTTGGTTGAGGGGCAACTAGCTCAATCAGAATCATAACAGTTTGAAAGTTGTAAAGAGCTTGATGAGGAGAGGAAAATGCCTAGTCCAAGTGAGTATTTCAATTATAGCAAAACCTAAGCATTGCTGCATGTAGATGAGGCTATCGAAGAGCTTGCATGGATTGATTGTGAGTGTGAACAGCATATGAAATATCAGGATATATTATGGTCAAGTATATTGTTTATTCAACTAGTATCTTGTATTGCATAGGATCAAATAAAGGGAAACAAGAATTAGGAGTGAGTGTGTATTTCCGTTGGCAAAGAAAAATTCAAGAGGGATGTTGAGCCACTTCCATGTGTAGGAAGTATTTGAGCTTGCCAAGATCTTTGGTATGAAACTATATGGAGAAATTCTTTCAGTTTGTGACAAAGAAATGAATAATTTCTTACAACAATCAAAACATCAACATAAACTAGTACAATGAGAAATTATTCTCTCACTAATAAGTAAAGAGTGAATAATTGCTTATAGATGTTGAAAACCAAACAGTTCTAAAGCTAAAGCAAATTTTGCAAACCAATGTCTTGATGCTTGGTTGAGGCCATATAAGGACTTCTTTAGGTGAAAAACGTACATGTTGCTCTCCTTTATTCTCATATAGCTTGTGAGTAGTTGCATTTAAACTTCTTCATCAAGATCTCTATGGAGAAAAACATTGTGAACATCCAATTGATATAACTCTCAATTACAAGTTGCAATAACAACTAGTAGGCATCAAAAGGTAGCTAGGTTGGCAATAGGGGCGAAGGTTTTGTGGTAATTTATTCCTTCATAGTCTTGCGTAATTAAATCTCTTTCAACAAGACGTGTTTTATATCTTTTAATTGTCCAATCGACATTATATATTTGATTTTATAGACCTGTTTGCACTCTATGAGTTGTTTTTTTTTTTGGTTTCTCGCTCGGTATCCGAGGCTTTGCCTCGATTAATCCGGACCCAACCCGCGTCGCGCATCTGAAAATGGTGGGTGAGTCTCCCAGCGAGAACTGCTGTGTACACAAGAGCTCGAACTAGAGACCTTACTTAAGCTGGAACAAGCCGCTTACCACTTGGTCCAACCCCTCATTGGTGCAAACTATGAGTTGTTTATCAAGAAGAAGTGTCTCCAAAGTCAAAGTATTCTTTTTTGCAAAAGCAGCAATTTTAGCTTCCATCGCTCATTTTTGTCTGGGATTTTGGATGGCCTAAGAAAAAGATTTTGGCTCTTCTTGGATGGAGATGGCTACTAAAAAGGAGTGATGAATGAGACTACAATTTTCATATATAATAAAATGAGAAATAAAATATTGCATACTTGACGCAGAGGAAATTTTTGTACACTTTTGATCGAATGAGACTAAAATTTTCTTATATAATAAAATGAGAAATAAAATACTGCATACTTGAGGTGGAGGAAATTTTTGTAAACTTTTGATCTCCATTTAAGACGAAGTCTGCAAGATACATTGATTTTCTTCTCTTACGTTGTGGCCTTGATGGATGCACATGCTTTGTGGAATTAATGGGATTGACCACATTGCCATGGCTTAAATTCGATGCTCTAGCAATTTTTCAGGGTTGTGGTCACCTTTCCGTGCGCTATATCCAGTCATCGACTGTATCAGCATTGCTTGGCTAAGCTTGTGTGAGCCAGGTGCGCTGCTGCGTGTCAAACACTGTTGTTGATAGGATTGATCAACTCGTCGTGTGTCTTGCCACATATTATAGGATTTGCAAAAGGACAAAACTCTCTATTAACACCTTGTATACTTTTTCATTCCTTGGTCAACATCTTACAAAATTTTTCTTCCCTGTCAACCCGTAGAGTTGTGCTTGTGCAGAACCCGAGAAAAGCACCAAAACCATTAAAATCTCCGTCGAAAGGAATTAGACAATTTATGGGACCAAGTCATTCAAGATTAAAAAGATGATAGTTTAGTCCCAAAAAATTTTAAAGATTGAATTACTAAGGTAAAAAGAGTTAAGAGACAAGCTAGCCACATATAGAAGAACACTATTAGAAATTCGAAATCAAATTGGGAACTAGCTCAATCTGAAGAAAACATTTTAGCCAAAATTAAAGAAATTTTTTTTGCTAAATTAAGATAAAATGTTCAAGAAATTAGAAGAATAAATTCAAATAATGAAAGTGTATAATTATACCATTGACAAATCAAATTTAGAGAAGAAAAGATTAGTAAACTAAGAGAAGGCATTCATTAGCTATGCTCATAATGAATAATGGGCAAATAAATTAGACTAACTTATATTTACTTAATACGCTAGATAAAAGCAAGATTAGTATAGAAGACATAAAGATCACTAATAGAACTCTAGATATAGGAACTATCAATGGAAATACTTTAAGAAAAAAAAAAATAGAGAGAATCATTTCACAAGAATTTAATTCTATTAAAGAAAGAATAAAAAAATGTAAAATATTTCAAAGATTTGAATGAACTAAAGGAAGTTGTGCAAGCTATAAAAGATTCAAAATCTTTAATATCTTGCCTTAGAGAAATAGAAAATAGAATAAATGGAATCGCTAGAAAATTAAGTAATTGCTGAAAAATATGCAACAAAAGCTTAAAAAATGCATAATAAAATAGTTCCATGACTAGAAAGTGATATGACAAGAATTTCTACTGAATTTAAATTG